ATTTACATGATACCTGGGCTGGATTTCCACAACACACTAAGCTAAACTGTGATTAATTTGTCACTGCCCAAATACATGTAGTGATACATATAAAACCTCTCATAGCAAATAGTGTTTACTCCCAAATAAGAATCCTTAAATTATTTGAGGGAATTGTGCTAAAGCTGTGTGTTATACTCACTATAAAAACATAGGATAAATCGATAATTAAATGAACTGAAATAAAATTAAATAATCATTTGTCTCAAATCTGTTAATCTTTTCCTGAAATAAATCCTTAATAGATTTAGTTTTTATTATTTCAATTAGACTAGTGCATAACTTTCCAGAATTAGATTTCATTTTCAGGGCTTGTTTAAATAGGATGGCATTCTGCCTTTACTTTTATTTTTCAGCCACCACCTCTTACATAAAACTTTGGGAACTTCCGTACGTTTTGCAGAAAGTTGGCATTTGGAACAAAACAGACCTTGCACAATTAACAGTGGTTATAGTTTCCATTCCTGAGTTTCCCCTTCTAATTCCCATCTCTGCATTCAACACTTACATGCAGCATAGCTCACTCACAACAGCAACACAGCATTCAGGTTTTCATGAATGCACCTACACACAGTTCAAGGCAAGGGAAAGAGCATACTTACTTTGAGTCCACCGAGGAAGGACCTTGGCTATTATTATAATCAAAGTGAGAGGGCAACACAGAACAAAGGAATGCTGCAGGGGACTGGTTATGCATGGATGAAATTCTCGGCCCAGATGATGAGCTAGCAGGAGACTGTACAGATGCGGGTGTTACGGGAAATGAAGCGCTATATGAAGGTGAAGAGAGTGAGATTGGCGAGCTCAGCGATGAAGAGGAAGTAAATTTCTTCTCATTAGGATTACAAGGCTGGATTAAAATGGAAGACTGCTTGGTTTGCCTGCTCGGAAGCGTAGCAGAGGTCTCTGATCCTGGAGGCTGTGGCTTCCCTTGATATGTATTTTGAGACTGGATAAAGTGTTTTGGACGCTCATAATTAAACATGCTAGGTTGGTACATAGAGGACACAGATGGGAGATTACTGACACTCATGGGGAAGCTTTCACAATTGTCCTGTGTTTTAGAAGGTGAAAATAGACTTTGGGTTGGTGGTTGGAAAGAATGAGTCGATAAATTTTGTGGCCTTTCTTGGCAGGGATCCTAGGTAGGATAGAATCCCTGCCTCAGCAAAGAGTAGCTGTCTTGATGAAGATAATCCCTTTAGGAAAACAATACAAATAAGAACAGAAATAAATGGCCATGCAACAAGATTATATAGACAATCAAATTAGAAGGGAACCAATGGACAAATGCTAACATTATCCATTTTCCTCAGGAACTAGATGTTTTGTACCTACAGCATCTTTGAAATTTCCCTGCCTTATCTCCCCACCCCCACCCCAAATAATAATTTGAACAGTTTCCTCATAAACATGCTGAAATATTCTAGGAATGCTTATAGGGATTTAAAAGTTTTCAATGTACAGAAGTTATTTTAATACTCACCATCCCTATATGTGGAATATCCAATTTATTGTGATGACTTTCATTGCAATCCCCACCCTCGCCTTCTAACTGCATGGCAATTGAACCTATATTAAACTCTTTTTCTGAAATCACTGGAAAGCATTAACTATCTTTGTGAATGTTAACTTTAATTATGATTTAAAGATACAACTCATTCCTCTAAGGATGCAATGCAGATTTTATTACAATACCTTTTCATCCATGTAAAGCCTTTCTACAGTAAATGAAAATGATCACAAGTAGATATTGAATTCTATCAATGCATACCACTTAAAACAATGTAGTCAAATAAAAAATTATGCAGTACCAATACTTTATGACAAAGGCATGTTCTTTGCTTATACTGCTAAGCTTCCACCAACCAAACAAAATTTGAGTTCCAAGTAAATAAACTCTGTTATGAATCTCAAGATCAATAGGATGATGTTTTCCCCCTCTGACTATGCTCAAATTCCTTATAATGGAAACTACTGTACTGTATACATATAATTTTAACCAGATCTTAGTACCAAAGATGTGCCAAACTATAACTCAATTTTCTGACCAGCTTTTACAATATTTTTGAAACTAATGAGAAACTATATGAGGCAGATTTTTAATTAAAATAAAGTATGAAGATAAAGTTCATGAAGGAAATTATTTTCATTTTTTTTCTCTAGAGTCTAGACAAGCAGCATTTTGCTTCAATTAGGATTAAAAGAATAGAACATTTACAGATATAGTTAGCAAGAAATCTGGCTATAAATGGAGTAAGCATAGTTATTATGTTCATTGAATATGTTGATATATCATGATTGCTACCACATGTGCATGTCAAGACATTTTTTTCCATACACAAATCCCACACTTTAGTTGGGTTATTGTTATTATAAATTGTAAATGAATTCTATAGGAAGTTCTTTAAAAAATAATTAAATATTCGGTCATTTGAACAAAAAAATTAATAGTTCAAACATTCAGCTGTGTGGTAAATTTCTCAATGTATCTCTATGGAGCAAGCTACAGTACTTTTTTAAACAAAGCACAAAGAAACTTCTGGAAGAAATAAATAAAATAAAATAATAGTGACTATTCCTTCTCTTCTCACTTAAAATCTCTCCAATATCTATTTTTTCACTACAGAATTTCGTATCAGCTGTTTTGCTACTATATCTGCATCCAGTATATTGCCTTCCTTTCATAGGAAGAGGCTAAACTAGGTTCCATGAGGTCATGCATTCCTCAGACAGATCAAATTATTCGGCTTTTTTTAAACGTACGATTAAAGGAGCCCTTCATTTCGACTTTTCGTATAAATGAACTTATCGAGCGGTTAAGAATTCTTATCTTCTATTTCTAACTTTCACCATGAAAAAAACGCAGCAACTCGTGTAACCCAAAACCTTCCACGAAAGGGAGCACTAAGACGCTTGAATCCGTTTCAAGTGAGAGGGAACAACTTGCATATTTTAATATTCACCTTCCTCTATTAAAATAAAAGTCCGCCGCTACAATAGTTTCACACGAAACTCGTAAAAACTACCACACAAAAACCCACCTCCCTTCCCTTCCTCCCTTCTTAGTAGTGGGAATCTACTAAGCCCTTTACAAGAGACACCAACTTTCCAAACTTGGACCACGAACGCCTTGTGTAACTTATTCTGAAATGCAAAGATTCGGTCACGACCTTCTGCAACGACTAACGTGCTTCTTGCAAGTCAAATCTTCGGCGCCACGGCCGCTTTGGCCGGACCGCGCTCCTCCGTTCCCTGAGCCAAATGTCCTGCGTGTGTGAGGTTTAAACTACCACCCACGCGGATCAGGTTCGCAAAAGCTGCTGGGCTACTACACTGGGGGCACCTCAGCCAAACCTTCCTGGCCCATAGTGCGCGCAAGTAACCCACCACCTGCACTCCTTTCAAGTATCAGTCCCTCCCGTCCTAGGCACGCTGGGCTTTCCCTGGAAGTACAGCTCCTAAAACATGCACCGCTGCGAGCCGAACCGGGCGGGGCGGAGCGGTGGGGGAAGAGGAGGAACAAAGAGGAACTTACCTGTAAGCAAAGGAAAGGATCACCTGCGGACTTACGAAGCGGTGTTGTGAAGGGAAACCAGCCATCCACTAACACAGACTAGAATCATAGTACCTCTCTATTTAAGTTTTAATAGGAGCGCGGCGATTAGCCCTTGCCAGGGAATGACATCGAAGGTATTCGCTCTTTCCAGCCACCCGGTTCGAAGTTGCCAAAATAAGAGCTTTCCCTCCCCCCGCCCTTTCTCACCCCGCCCGGCTGCTCGGCCATCCGAACTAGAGCCCGCGAGAAAGAGACGCGCTTGGCCGCTGGAAAGAGGGCAGAGCATTCCTTGCGTGCAGCTAAATGAGATAGTTAAGACAACTCGGTAACCAAGATCGTTCAGCTTAAGTTCGGCGCGGTCGACTTTTTTTTAGGCGAAAAAAGGGTTTGTCACCGGAGCTACTCTTTAAACTCTTCGGTGGGGCGCCTGCAGAAGTAGCGTGGCGGGAGGAAAGGGAATTGTCCGCTTCTAACTATTCATACGCTGTAAATAAGCCATTTTTCGGGCCAGGGCAATGCGGTGGTGCTTGGGCGAGGGATCCCGTAAAAAAGCTATATTCCAACGCGTATACTACAGAAGTGTTGTCGCCGCTGGCAACAGTGCTCTGAATCCAGCGATTACGGTGGCAACAGTCGAGGGCATTTATTTCCCTGCCTCCGCTGGCGAAAAATGCTTCATTCGAGACCATCATTTTGATCCAGAAGCTTGCCAGCCGCCACATGAGCAAAATTGCCCTGGAAGCCTCCGTGCTGTAGTTAGTGGGGAGTTAACTCTGCGAAGGTTGGGAGTGAGCGCGAAGCGGCTTTGTGATTAGAAAACAGGTGAAGAGGAACTGAGTTTATTGCCCCCGCGGAGTTGTCGGGAGCGAGCGAAGGAAGGACAGAAATAAGAGTCTTAGCGGTATACAGTAAGCCGTAAAAAGTTGGATTCGCGTATCTGTCGACAAGTGCAGCCTCTTCGAGTTGGAAGTAGTTTCAAGGGACACTAAAAGGAAACCGCATTCCAGCTCGAGGGGACTTTGATTCTGAAGCGAACGCAAGCCGCGCTTCTATAGCGCCCGATCGAATTTCTTTATTTCCAACTAGCCTGCTGGCGCCCCTTTTGTTCAAGTGCCCTCGGGTTTTCCTGTCTTGAAAAGAGCACAGCGAGCTGATGGACTCGAGACGTACCTACTAACACATCACAACCGAGGAGGAAAAGAATATAGCACTCGGTTCTCTAATTCACACAAACATAGTTTACATGCTCAAATACAGATTTTTTTCAGTTATCTAATCCAGGATATGCAGCACAGTGTAGAAAACCTGTTGTGACCTATATTAGTGAAATCTTACCTCAACTTTTTATCCTTCAGATATGTAATATTGTACTTCACATCTTCTGCCTAGAGCAGTGTTTTTCAACCACTGTGCCGCGGCACACTAGTGTGCCG